GAAAAAAAAAAAATAAGCTTCCTTATTTTAATGATTTATTATATTTTAGAATATTTCTTATATAAATATTTTTGATATTTTTTAATAAAAATTAACCGAATATTTTTTCCATAATTAACAAATGAATACAAACAATATACGAAATATATATAAATGTTATTTTCGGTGTTATATTATGCTTAAGCAATCTATTAATTAAGAAAATAAATTAATGTGCGTGTGAGCGGGAGAATGCAGTTCATGGTTGTGTTCGTCATATATTCGATGACGGTGTATTTTTAGTTTTTTGGTTGAATTGCAACTTCAACCTTGTTGCACATCCAATGCGTATCTCGTTGTATCTTTTTCTCATCACAGTACATTTATTATTGTGACTAACTCTACTATTTTATTTTCTCACTCTTTATTGCAGCAACAGTGTATGTATTGTATGTACTGAGGATCATTTCTTTTGACTTTTTCTGCATCTATTTTCCTATGGCAAAACCTCGACTATGCATATATATATAATCTAACCTATACGCATCGTCGAGAATAAAAAATGATGCATTGGTTCAATAATTGTCGTCTGGAGAAGCGAATGAAAAACGTTGTTATAATGTATGTTGTTTATAGTAATTTACTATAACTTACGTAATATACTATTTTGATGTCATTTCAGTGTGAACATTGTATAACTAATTTTTTTCTCTTTCTTTTTTTTCGGGCATATGACGCAATAATTATGCTATGCGATATTTTGGTGTTAATATATATATATATATATTTGATTTGATTTGGGGCCAAGATTAATTCTCCACAATTTTTGAGAAAATTAGATTTGGTTATAAAATGTAAGTCAACACTTCTAAATTTGACATGATATAATGCTTATTACCTTATACAATAAAATTGATTTAAATTATGATTTCTTAGAACCATATATTAAATTTTGTTACAAACCCAATTTTTTTTATAAAACACTTATGCAATCTTTCCAAAAATAATAAAATATAAAATCATGTCAAGAAAATAATATGGACCGCTACATAATATCTACACAACTATTAGGTTTGTTAATTAAAATAAATTTAATTTATCGCAATATATTATGGATTTTCACAAATTTTTAATAGTTCGAGTGATGTTTCAATTTTTTCTGACCGCGACTACTGATATGTTGAATGACTATATCATCATGTTGAATGCTCTATACATGTTGTTAATAAGGTAAAGATATGATATAATAAAAATTCGACGACTAATTACTTTTGCGATAAAAAAAAAAAAAAAAACTCACCTTGTTTTGGATTTTCTTTAATGTTATATCCGTTTACCGCGGAATATAACTCATTGGAATGTGCATCATTTTGATTCTTCTTATTCCACACTCCGATTTCACCGTTATATTTTTCTTCGACCGACGTCGGCGGAGAATGTAAAGCTCTCTTCTTTGGTGTGAAATTATCTATTTTGGATAATGACCACAAGCTCGGTGCATAAATTTTCATTTTTATATATGCATTCCCTTAATTTATGTCCAAATAAAATTGTTATGATGAATTATGGTTGATGATCGAATAACAAACAAAAAACTTAAAGAATACATAAATTTATGTGGTTCATAAAAAACGAATTGGCTACCTCCATGGACAGAAACAGAGAACATATTTTATTGCAGGATTTGAGCCGCTTGGCCGCATGGCAGCCTATTAGAATGAGAATACATATCTATTTATAATATAAGTATATGCCAATAATATCTAAATCATATGTCTAAATCTATAATATAATATCTAATATTCAAATAATGTATTTAGGATATAATACCTAATATCCAAATCACATCTCTAGATTCAAGACATATCAAACAAATCTCCACCTTACTTGAATCTCACTTCCAAATGCATCATTACAATGTCAGATGAATAAGTGGCAAACTAGCTTCAAGACATCTTCACTTTGACTTGAACCCCACTTCCAGATGCATCATTACAATGTCAAATAAACAAGTGGCAAACTAGTTTCAAGGCATTTCCACCTTGACTTCAATCCCACTTCCGGATATGCATCAGTACAATGCCGGAGGGACATAATTCTCAATTTTGCCTCAGATTTGCCCCTCCTCGGGCAACTACCTTCGTAGCCTAAACAGACGTTGCTTCAAAAGCAACTTATTGGTTAGAGATTTCGTCATGTACAAACTCTCCAATTTTTTCCAAAGGCCAACGGTAGTTTCCTGATTGGCAACTTCGATGATTACATCATCGGACAGACACAACATGATTGTCGAGTGGGTCTTCTCCTCTGCGATATCCCACTCTTCATCATCTATGTCTTTACTTCTCGGTTTTCCAGATAGCGGCATCCACAAACCCTATTGTTTCAGCAAATATCACATTTTGATCTGCCATAAGCCAAAACTATTCCTCCCGAGGAATTTGTCAACCTTTACGTTGAAAGCAGACATTGTTGATTGACTCACGAAATCCTAACAGTGCGAAAATAAACAAAACCCTGATCGAAACGACCAGGCTCTAATACCAGTTTGTTATGACGAATTAGGGTTAATGATCGAATAACAAACAAAAAATGTAAAGAAGACATAGATTTACGTGGTTCACAAAAAAACGAATTGGCAACCTCCACGGACAGAAACAGAGAACATATTTTATTGCAGGATTTGAGCCGCTTGGCCACATTGCAGCCTGTTAGAATGGGAATACATGTCTATTTATAACATAAACTATGCCAATAATATCTAAATCATATGTCTAATCTAGGATATAATATCTAATATCCAAATCATATCTCTATGATATAATACCTAATATCAAAATTATATCCCTACATTCAAGGCATATCAACATAAATGATAATCTTATTTATTATATATATATATATCCATTCACACAATCTTATCCGTTGATCTATCATTCCATCCAACGGCCTCAGCACATTCAGAAATTATAGATTTAGGAGGATACCGAACCAGATATTATTATTTAAAATTTTAATAATAACATTATATTGCAAGAATATAATTATCGAAATAAATTCGACATCACAACAATTTTATCGAAATAAATTCGATAATCAATTTATTGAAATAAATTCGATAATCTCAATAATTTATCGAAATAAATTCGATAATCAATTTATTGAAATAAATTCGATAATCTCAATAATTTATCGAAATAAATTTGATAATTACGTCGAGTCGAGGTAGAACCTCTCTCCGTAAAAACGAATATGCCCCGGTAGTGCCTCCGGTTCGTGGCGCAATATTCCCAAAGATAAAACGACGTTCGTCTCCGAATTATGTGGCACCCCAATATTTCAGAGTTCTGACGAGTTAAAATGAGGAGAACTAATACTATATCGAGAGGATTATATATACAAAGAGTGCTACCGGAAAATATAACCGGAAAACTCGTTGAAAATTTGGACCGTCGCCGGAAGGTTGGAAAATGAAGGATATATTTGAGATGAGAGGAATAAACTTTGTTGTGGTGTCTAAAAAGAATGAATCGAAAGCCTTTTTATAAGCATGCTCACGAGGGGTCTATCAATCTCATCCGAAACGGATGATTTAATGTGACAATTACATTTCTTGAAACCGAATGTAACCGGCCCTATGATTAAAACCCATATTTGAATTTCAAATGAACTTGAATGGCATGTAATGAATTTGGACGATATGCACATTAAATGCATTCACTCAATATTTGTAAACTTATACATGCACTCAAATATGCATTTTCAAAAATGCATTTCATGCATTTACTATAATATATGCTATCATGTATACAATATAATCAATCATACACACATGCATGTTAATGCATATATTCATAATGCATTTCATATTTATTTTCCAAACATTTACAATCATGCAAATAATACATTAGGGCTCATATTTTATTTGTCATTTTGATTACGCTTAATAGACTTCGTCAAGTCTTGCATTTATCAAACCCAAGTCTCAACCCATGACCATATTGTTTGGTCGTGAGCGGCGCCGCCTGGGGCTTTCCGGCGTTCATATGCCTAAATCACATAATTGACAATCATCATATAGCTCACATTCATCTCAACTCACCGAATAATCGATTTCGAAAATTATGAATTTAATTTATAAATTAAATTTCATCGATTAAATAAATAATCGATTAACCGATTATCCAACATAAGAACATTCTCCCCCAAAGGTAACACACTAACTAGAACATATTCTATACTCAATCAAATATATTTTTTTGTTTCCCTTCTTATACAAACAAACCCTTTAGTTAATTTATTTTTAATCAAATATTACATTAAATGAATGATTAAAGTCTAATTAGAGATTAACATCACATCAAATATAGACTTTTAGTAGATAGCTTAAATTGATGCACAACGTGAGTTGTTTAGATTGTTAAAATATGCTATCAATATATTTTTTACGTTGAGATCCGTTATAGTATATACTATTTGGACATTGTCATATGTTATTAATTTATGCATTGTATTTATATTATATTAACATATGCATTAGACTGTTAATTTATATTCTGTTTTGTCGATTTACATTTCATTTACTGTTAGCTCGTTTGTAAATATTCAAATTGAACATCCAAATCGTATTGTTACAATGATTTTGCTCACTTAATGTTTTTGGATAACACGATTCATAATAATTATTATTTAAACTAAAAAAATATAATATACACACACATTAACTCAATCTATATACTTTATCCATTTCCCAAAAACTAATAATTTAATCAAAAAATATTATGTTCTATATATTACTAATATAATTTAATATAAAAAACATGCATTCATCCAAAAATTTAAAGTCATTGAACAAACCCATTATATTTCAAAACATTTCCAAACATTTTCTTATAATACTCATTACCAACCAAGTCAAATCCAAAATAAATTAAAAAGTTATTACAACATACTTGAACACCTATTATACTAAATATATATATTTACAATATTGTATAATTTAAATTTCTTTTTAAGAAAAATAACTCAAACATACATTTTTACATTAAACAATTATTTCAATTCCAATTCACTATAACCAAATTAAAACATCAAAACACAACCCACAAGTATCCATCCAAAGAAGAAAAAAAAAAAAAAAAAAACAATAGCAGCAACAACAACATAAGAGTAGAGGCCCTTCTTGTAACAAAATTAAGAATGCAATATATTACTCTAAAAGGACTTCATGGATGATTTTATTGAAGTTGGAATAGGAAGATCCGCCGGGCGCCGTCGCCTCTTCGGCTTTCCTCTTCCAAGTCATTGCATTGGCTTTCATTTTCTTGCCCTCGTCGCCATCCATAAGCTTTCGTACAAGCAATTCTACCTCGTCCCTTTTCACGTTGTTGTCTATCTCCATTCCAATTCCCCATTCCACGCAGCAATACCGACAATTTGTTTGTTGCTCCGCGAAAAAGGGCCAACATATAACCGGTACACCACTTGCAATACTCTCAATCGTCGAATTCCATCCATTGTGCGTCAAAAATCCACCTATTGCTGGATGCTGCAACACTTTCTCTTGAGGGCACCAACTGATCATCAAGCTTCTATCTTTAGTCTCCGCCTATATAATAATAACAATAATAAATGATAACAATAATAATAATTTAAGGGTGTGGTTACTTTGAATGATTAGAGTGTATAATATTATTTTATACACCATAATCACATGTTTATTATAATAGATTAAAGCTCGATATTGACTAAAGTCTACTGCATTAATATGCTAATTAAGGATAATTAATCTTGCCTCGATGGTTAGGATTAATTTATCCAAGTAATATTTATACTAAAGTAAACATCATATTATTTAATCCATATAAATAATATAGGTACTATAATCTAAGCATTCAAAGTAAAACGAACCCTAAATATATCTATCATAAGTAGTTAAGTTACCAGAAACTCGGGTGGAAGCATGGCGGATTCGCCAACAACAATATCGGGCCGGATGATCCATAAGAAGGGCTTTTTGCTATTGGCAAGTCCCCATGCAAATTCCGTTAGTTGTTCAGCCGTGACCACCGTTATACTCCCGAAATTGACATAAAACACGGAGCCGGGGTCTTTTGTATCGAGCCATTCGATGCAACCGGAATCCTCCTTCCAAAGGCTTGAGTTGATGATATCGAGACGCTCGTCGTGGACATGGCTCATCATCAATTGAAGAGGGCCGAATGTGTAGATACGTGGAACTATGGCGGAGAGGGCTTCAAGGGCATCGCGCTCCAATTCATCGAATGTGTTCATTATGAGAGCTTTCCCTCTAGGGATAGCATCGGCTTCTTGCATCAAGAAATTGAGCATTATGTCGTTGGGGTCGGTGGTTCTGATGAATGATGGAAAATCGCGTAACCGTATATCGTTCGACATTCCGGCCACCCAATCTATTGTAGTTTCCATGTACCCGTTTGAGGCTTGGCTCATATCTGGTTAATTAGGTATATACATATATGAAAATATGTCATTATATATGAAGTATATGCTTTTAATTAATTGATCATATATGATTCGAAAATTATTTATTTTGACTTTAGAAAAATATGGAATCAAAGCATATGGAATAAAATGTTTTGATTCAAATTTATGAAATGTCACATACTTATCTTTCTTTTTTCCACGATTATATATTGTATTAATCTAACATTCATAATCATAATTATACATAATAAGTAAAAGGCATCCAAGTAAAAATAACCTAATCAATAAAAAAAAAATTAAGGGTAGAAAATTGTATAATATATATTTGTAAATTTTATTAGACAATTTACCATCTATTATCCTTATTATTTGAATTTTTTATATAAATATATGTATTATAATTTGTATTATATCGTACATTATTTTAATACCAAACTCAAACTAAATTGTTTTCAACACTCTCGGAGTATGGAACCTTACAACCTAATTGTATTTTATCTTTACATATTTTATTCAATATCTATCAAATATAAAATATTATTATTTCATAGTAACAAGGTGTTAGTTATAATATACTCTCTCCGTCTCAGATTTTGTATTCAAAATTACTATAAACACGAGAATTTAAAAAATTCATAATTAATAAGTAATTAAAAATAATTATAAATTAAGATAAATAATTAATCTGATTAAAATTTTAAAAATTATAAAATAAATTAAAATATAATTAAAGTATATATATATTTTTTAGAAAAGTGATATGAGATGTAAAATGTACAAAAATAGCAATATGTAGAATATATTTTAATACATTGCAAATATAATATATTAAATAACAACATATAGTTGAATTGATTTTAACAAATAAGATATATTAATATAATAGACATAAAATACAAAGGAATGGTCAAACTATAATTAGCATAATACTCATTAACTCTTAGTAGTATAATATAAGATTGAAATTTAAGAATCTAATCTAACTCCCAATAATTTTATTTATTTATTTATTTATTTTTTGGATGACGTAGGAACCGCAGCCGCTACCCGAAAATGCACACTGAGTAAACTTTCAATAATTTTTAATCATATTTAATCTGTGAAAGGATCTTGTTTTTGCTATATATATATATAATGCATTAACATTTTTACTTATATATTATTGAAAAAATGCTCAAATTTCAAATATTTTGCTACTCTTTCTTATTTAAAATATGTCAGAATTTTTAAATTTGTGTTTTCATTTTATTATTATTATTATTATTTTATTTTTTTATGACGTGGGAACCTGCAGTCGCTACTCCAAAATGCGTATCAGACAAAATCCTCGGCCTAATCTAATACCCTGCAAACTATGCCCAACAAGTTTATTTTATTATTTTGAATGTATGTATTTTTTATATTAAATATAAAAATTATATTATTAATATAAAAAATAATATGTTAAATAGATAGAGTATATATTTTATATAATATATATTTTTTTGGATAATATGCTTCGAGAATTGTTTAAGAAATTTTTTTTGGATGAACTCATTTTCTATTTACACACCATTTTACTTGGTACCCCTTTACATACATTTGTTTATTCTATTATAATTTATTATAAATAAAAGGATAAAAATAAAATGAAACAAAACCTAACTAAAATTTAACATTTTAAATTTTGTAGCAACGCAAAAAATTTATAATATTATTTTATTGAATTTAAACTCTAATCTAAGTCAAAATGAAACCAAAATTTATTTTATTATTTGTGTGTTTAGTGTTTTAATTTGGATAAAAAAAAAAATTTATATAAATAATCATATCGATATTTTATATTTTGTTTTAAATATTAATTTGTAAAAAGATAAAATATATATTAAAAATCATACTCTCTCCGTCTCATATTTATATATTAATTTATTTTTTGCACGAATTTTTAGAAATATTAGTATTATATTGAAATAAAGTAAAAATAAATGTAAAATGACTAAATTACTTCTATTAGTATTGTATGATATAAAGGTAACAACATTTGTGCAATATATTGTAAATTGGAAAGGTATTTGTAATATTAGGTAGATGGTACAATCATTAAAAAATGAATTGAATATTTTATTACGAAACGGATCAAATTAAAAAAAACGAATAGATTATTAAGGAACTTAAAGAGTATTAAAAAAAAATATTAGGCAAACAAACTTATAATTTTCTATGGAATTTATTAAAATGTTTATTTAAATATAAATATTTTATAAAAAAGAATATATTTTTATTAAAAACAAAAAAACAAAACATCCACTAATTTACGGTAAATGTGTTTTGATGTTTACTTCAAAATGATGGCATAGGTGTGTTTGCACATGGCCTGGCCTCGATTTTCTATAATTCACAATTTGTTGTTTAAAGAAGGAAAAAAAAATATTTTTTCTGTCACAAATTAAATGGACTATTTAAACTTTTTGTAATAAATTAAAAAATAATATTATTATTTTATTAATTAGTATAAATGCGTAAGAATTTTTGATATTTGTATCATTTAAATTTATGTATAAAATAATTATATAGAAAATGATATATTTATAATTTAAGTAAAAATTAATGATATTTTAATATTAATATATGATTATTTTTTCAAAAGTAAAAAATGAATACATTGAATTTAGATAAACAAGAGTAATGAAAACATTATTTTAAATTAGGAGCGAAAAAGTATATATTATTCACTTTGTACTATATTACTAAAAGTATTCTACTTTTTTTCATAAAAATATTAAAACATTAAATATTATTTAAAAAAACTTAAATTAAAATAATTAATTTTAAGTTAAAATCAAACAACTCATAAATTATAAATAATATTTTTTTTATTTATAATATAAACAAAATCTTTTACAAAATGATACGGATATTTTTATTGCATTATAAATTTTAAAATAATAAATATATATTTTATTTAATTAAATAAAAATCATCATATTAACTTCCACCCACAAAATATAATCATAAACTAAACATTCTAAGATTTTATTTGAAGTATGATATTAATACCAGAATTGACACTATTTTTATTTGTGTCTATTTAATAATTGACACTTTTTTATTTTGGTAAAAATTATTAAACCAAAATATATTTAACAAATATGAATCAATTTAATTAACTATATAACATATAACATCATAAATTACGTAGGATTCACTCAAAACCCTTTTATTTCTACCTCCTAAAAAAATAAATATTTTTATCTATATTTAAAACTACACATATACATATTGCATATATTTTTTTAATTGCTATATAATTTTAAAATATTTAAATATATATTTTAATTTTTTTAATCATATACTCCCTCCGTCCCGTTGGAAGAGTAGCGTTTGCTTTTTGCACGTATATTTTTAAATATTAGTATTATATTAAATTGTAATAAAAAATACAAAAATACCTCTATTAGTATGGTGTAATATAAAAATAATGGCATTTGTATAATACATTGTAAATTGAAAGGGTATTTATTATGTTAAGTAGATAGTACAATTACTAAATTATAAAATGATAACCTTATTTTGGAACGGAAGAAAATTGAAAATTGTAATCTTCTAGGGACGGAGAGAGTATATTAAATTTACTTTAAAACTATAAATATTATTAATTATAAAAAATAATATAATAATATCGTAACTAATTATTATTAACTAATTAAATATTTTCACCTTAAATATTGTGTCTCTAATAAAAGTGTTCAATTCAGATAGGACGGGGGCAGTATTAAATATAATCATATATATATATATTTATTATTCTCAAATTTAAATCCTATTCTCAAAGTACGTATAAACACATTCCAAGGTTATCGTGTTTTTTACTCAACTTTTGGTATTTCTCTTCGAAGATATCATATTTAATAATATTTTTTAAAAAAATAATATGTTTATATATCCCAATATATTCAAAAATTTATTCTTTCAATTATGTATTACTTTTAAAAAATAAAACATTAGATCAAATTAAATACTTCATCGGTCCACTTAAATTATTCATTTTAGCTTAGACACGAAATTTTAAATATTGAATAATTAGTAAGTATTGAATAATTAGTAAGTAAATAAAAATATATTAGTAAAAATAATTATAAAATAAAATTATAATGACTAAATAATTTAATTAAAGTAAAAAATTATAAAATTATAAATTTTAAAATATGATTAATATGTAGAATTAAATTTTTAAAAAATAAAATGACAAATTATGCAAGACGAACAAAAATAAAAATAATAGACAAATTAAGAGGGACGTAAATAGTATTATTTAAACGTAAAATTCCAACCAAAATATTTTTAATCAAAACAAAAAAGAACATAGATAAGCTATATTAATAGCAAAATTTTGAATTTAAATACGTGTTTGATTTAATATAAAAATGATATAATATTTTAAATATAAAATTAATTTTTACTAAAATATAAAAAATAGATATTTGATTTACCTTTTTAAAAATAATTATAAATAATTCTCTCACCATCTGTTTTGAAAGGGCATGAGTTTTCTAGTACATTAAAAAATAATAATACTCCCTCCGTCCCATTGAAATATTATTATTTTTCATTTTCGTTTCGTCCCAAAATAAGGTTATCATTTCCTAATTTAGTAATTTTACTATCTACTTAATATAATAAATATCCTTTCAATTTACAAAATATGATACAAATGTCATTATTTTTATATTACATCGTACTAATAGGGGTATTTTTATCTTTTTTTTACTGCAATCCAATATAATACTAAAAATCTACGTGCAAAAAACAAACGTTACCCTTCTAACAGGACGGAGGGAATATATTTTTATTGATAATATGAAAATCCGCATCCGCTATCTTTTGAGTATACTCTGAGTAAACTTTCGTCCAAACCTAATAGTATGTAAACTAGATTTGATAAGACAAATCACACTGGGCGAACCATGTGTGTCATACAAGACTTAGAGGCGTTGGAGTTTGAACCCATGACCTCACGATCACAAGACCATCCTCACATTAGCAAGTCATTCATTAAGAACGCTAATAATATTTTATTGGTTAGTAGAGGTGGGTAAGAGATTTTGATAATTTTTTTTATTAAATAATTATATGTGTAATGATATATTTGTAATTTAGATAAAAATTAAGAATATTTTGATATTAATATATAATAAATATATTTGTAATTTAAATAAAAATTAAAAATATTTTGATATTGATATATAATTATTCAATAAAAATAATATTAAAACTTATATAATAACAAAAATAACATCTAACTAACACCAAAAAACGCGGATCGATCTGTTGTGTTTCTCGATGTAGATTTGTACCCATTATCAGATTTTATTTATTTTTTCAATTATAATACTACGTAGGTCCATCTTAACTTTATCATTATTATTATTTAATTAAAATTTGTCAAAGTTTTCAAAATATTTTTTATATATAATACATGAGTATACTTTTTTATTGTTATTTGTAAATAAAATCTATAAATTTATTGTTAAAAAATATTAGATTTATATTTTCGATATGTTATATATATATATATAAAATGCAATATTTATCTATTGAATTAAAAATAAAGAAAAATACCTTTAAGGGGCGTATATCCTTTCTCTACAAGCCGACGGTATTGCGTGTACCCTAAAAGGCCGCAGGCGCTCGTGGTCCAGAACAGCACCTCCGGCAGCCGGAACCTCTCCGCCGCCTTCAGCGTGAAGCTCATGACGCCGTCGGAGACGATGCAGCTCACCGGCGGCGCACCTCCGTCGCCGGCGTTGAGCCTCGAGAGCAGGTCGCAGAACGGCTCGAGGCACGTGGTGGTGGTGGAGGTGCAGAGCGAGGGGATGTCCTGCGTCGCATCGGCGTCGGACGGCGGGAGACCGTCGGGTATTGAGTCGAATCGGAACTCCGGGAGTCGGTGGAGCTCCGAGAGGCTGCCGGAGCGGAGGAGGCGGCGGTGGTTGAAGTCGGTGTTGACGAAAGTTATGTAGAAACCGCTGTGGTGGAGGAGTTTTGCTAACTTGAGCATGGGGTTGACGTGTCCCTGCGCCGGGTAGGGTATTAGTACCGCATGAGGTTTGGTTTCGGATCCGGGTACGGGTCCGTCCGTGGAACCCATTTGGCTTTCTGGTACGCATAGAGTGATGGACTGGAACCGATTTTATAGGGAGGGGAATGGTAGGGTCCAATGTTTAGGTTGGTTAGATCTGCACCGTTGAAAATGCAGTCCCCTGGATGTACGGTGTCGATTTATCTGATGGTACAGGTTCCAAGAATCGCTCGTTCCGTGTTTGGTTGGTCAAATCATTTAGGGATATTTGCAATATATATATATATACAGGGTCGGGTGTGTTTGTTGGGAATTTGGATTTGTAATTTAGAATTTAAATATTTTTTCAGTCTTATTGAAAGTTTGTCATTTTTTGTTCCTTCAAAACAAGATTATTATTTCTTAATTTAGTAATTGTACTACCTATTTAATATAATAAATACCTTTAAAAAATACTAATAGAAGTATTTTCGTCTTTTTCACTATAATTTAAAGTAAATGACAATCTTGTATTGGAACGAATGAAGTAATAATATTTTACAATTGAAATAATTGTATAATGTAATATAATTATATATTTATATGATATTTTAAATGTAAAATTAATTTTTAATATAATAAAAAAATAAATATTTGATTAAAGAAAAAAAAAAAAGTGAATAATGTAAATTTTGTAAATTTTAATATACACACGTTTAATTACACTGGACAGGCACCTGCTGTACAACTTAAGCTAATGTTGGGTGTTTGTTTGTTTGGGATTTGGATTTAGATTGAAATTTGAATAGTAAAAAATTTGAATTGCAATAGTGGTATAATGTGATATAAATAAGTATGGATGTGTGATATAGTATGAATAAAATAGAAATGACTAAAATAACCTTATTAGTATGTGTGATATAAAGGTAATGACATTTGTGTAATATATTGTAAGTTGTAAGAGTATTTGTAATGTTAAATAGATAGTACAGTTACTAAAAAAAGAAAATAGATACTTTGTTATGGGACGGACTAAAATAGAAAAATGGATACTTTGCTATGAGACGAAGGGAGTAATATTTATAGCGTGTTTGACAAACAACTTTTTCAAAAGTTTTGAACTTATTTAACAGCTTTTTGACCAGTAAAAAAAGTTAATTTAGATGTTTGATAAATTAGTTTTTTTTTTAAATAGCTTATTGGCCTAAAAAAACTAATTTTCGAAAAACTATATAACCCAATATTTTAAAAGAACTTTTTCACTTTAATTTTTTTATTTTTTATTTGCTCCTTTATTTCACATACATATAAATATATTTTCTACTGCAGTAACTATAAATTATTTTAATATATTATTTATTTAATTATAATTTTATTTTTATAAATTTAAGTAATTAATTTCTATATAATTAATTTTATTTGTAAATTATATATATTTATTAAAATAAAATAAAATAAAAACATAAATATTATTATTTTATTTTTATATTAAAATAAAATAAATTTATTAAAAGTTATAAATATAATCAATTAATCAATAGTTAATATAATAAAGATATATAAAAAAAATTTATTATTTTATAATTACATCATTGTTAATAAAAAAAAATATTTTTATTTCTTAATAAAAATATATACTATTATTATTTTTTTTGCATTTAAAATTAATAAAAAAAATTATAATACATTCGTAATTTCAAGTAATTTAATAACAAAACTTTTAAAATCTTTAAAACTAAAAAAATACAATTAAAAAAATTTAAAAGTTAAAATATAAATATCCTCAATTGTCATTTTACATATAAAAAACTAATATCAAACAATTATTTTACTAAACACTTTAATACAAACAACTAATTGAATCAACCGGTCAAACCAACCAACTAATTGAATCAGCTAAACGCTAATATCTAATTGAATAGCTAAAAGCTATTAATTGATTATCAAACACACCTTTAATATGATATTTTCAGAAAAAATATTTTATATGAATAATAAAAATCCCTCCAAATCCTTAAAAAAAACACACTCAAAATCCCAAGTTTTTTAAGAGAGGAGATTGGGTACTAATATTTTAAAATCAGCACCCATTTAAATATTATTATATACTTCCTCCGTTCCAAAACTATAGTTTATGTTGAGTTTGGCACAATATTTAAGGAATATTGATATTATATTGATAGTTGGTAAAAAGTACGGATAAAAGACTTTCTTGCCATTGTGAGTGTATTAGTGTAAAAAAATAGTGACAATTGTGTAATAATAATAAAAAAATAAGGGTAGTTTTACAGTGATACGATTATTTATGAAAATAAGACTATTATTTTGGGACGGACAAAAATGGTAAACAAAACTATTGTATTAGAACGGATGAAGTATAATTATATTAATATATAGTTTAATAAAATAAATTAATGTAATTAATTTTTACATGGTCAGTACATGTGGTAAAAAAAAATCAGCACCCAAAATCCACTCCCTTTTTAATATTAATTCTGAATATGATTAATATTGTATAGGATATTCTTTTATAGTTTTACGTACGAATATAAATCTGATTCACGTGTTGGATCTGTCGGTGTATTATTTGAGAAATTTGTGTATCACTTCAAATTTTTTGATGTATAATTTGAGTTATTATTTAAATAATATTTTATAAAAAAATACTCTCTCCGTCCCAGATATCGTATCTGCTACACTGTAGACACGGTATTTTAGGAGGTGTGTAATTAGTAGATAATTAAGAATGTATTAGTGAAAATAATTATCTTATAATATAAATAATTATAAATTAAGATTAAAATAACTAATTAGTTTAATTAAAATTAAAAAAAAATTTAAAATTTAAAATGAGATTAAAGTGTGTAATCATTTTTCAAAAAAGAAAAATGACATGGTATGTGAGACGGACAGAAACAGCAACGTAGACATGGTATTTGAGACGGAGGGAGTAATATATTTTTATTAATTTTCTTTGTAAAGTTAAATTAATTTTTTTATCTTTTAAGAGGAGAGGGAGGAATGAAGCCCAAAAGTGGCCAGAATAAAACAAACTACAACCCATATTCAATAGGGGAATGGATTTTTAATTCATTATTCATCTTATTTTTTTCTCTCAAAAATATTAAATCAAACACATAATTTTTTTTAATTTTTTTATATTATACTAAAAAACAATTTTACTTTCAAAATATCACATCAACACCTATTTATATCACATCATACGACTATTCAAATTCAAAATTTTTACTATTCAAATCCCAACTCAAAATCCAAACCCCAAACAAACACACCCTAAGAGGAACTTTTACGAAGAAATACTCCCTCCGTCCCATACTTTTGTTTTTTGTACATATATTTTTTAATATTAATATTATATTATGGTTATAGTAAAAAAGATAAAAATACTTTTATTAGTATTGTGTAAATATAAAGGTGGTGATATCTGTATAAATATATTGTAAATTAAAAAGGTATTTATTATGTTACAATTACTAAATTAGAAAATAATACATTTATTTTGAAATTGAAGAAAATAAAAATTGGAACTTTTTTTATGGGACAGAAGGATTATTAATGATAAATATTATAACACAGAAATGAAAATGATTAAAAAGCATTTAAGATAAAAAAAATAATAATAAAATAAAATAAAAGCTAAGAAGAATTGAAAATTATGAATGTTACAAATGAAGCAGCTTAAAAGGTACTTCAATAATGATAATAGATATTATTACAAGAGATTATTGAAAGAATAAAAGTCAAAGAAGAGTCGAAAAAGAGCCCAACAAAACAACATCAAGAAACTGTAAATTTTATCAAATTTTCTTTATTCTTTTTCAATTTTATTAGTACTTTCTTGCAAATATATACATTTATTTTAGTCCTTCCGTTGTCCGGTTTTAAGGGTGTCTTTTACCTTTTAAGTCGTTCTAGTCAACATTAAAAATATGTTTATATTTGTATAATTTTTTACACAAATGTCATTATAATAGTATTATAAGACACTAATAGAAGTAATTTTGTCATTTTCCTCTTAATTTGTACTACGTTTTCATATAATAATTAATATTCAAAGATCAATACGCAAAAAATAAATAAAACCCTTAGAGCCGGACGTAAATAGTATATTGTTTGCGTTACAATTCAAGTTTGAGTCAATTGGTGTGTTTTTTCTCTAGCATATTTTCGTTTCTTTCCATTCTAGTTGCTGATTCTTTAGACATGAAACAATTTATCTTAAATACTTTCTAGATATATGTTAGAGTACCCGTTTTTTCATTTTTCGACTTATTTTCTTAGACCGTCTGAAAATTAAATATTCAAAATTTCAGATACAACAACCGAACCAACAAATCATTTAAGAGCATATAAATTTACCAATTGGAGATGGATGGATACAAAAGAAATTAGAGTGTTGGATGTGATTGTATTTACTAATGCTAATCTAAACGCTTATTTTTATAAGCCTTCCTTTCTACCCAAAACTAAAAGGAAATTAAACGCACTAGTGTGACTTTTCCGTCGAGTTTGGTTTGCAAGGTATTAGGTTCGGCCTGGGGTTTATCTAGTGCGTACTTTCAGATAGCGGCTGCGGATTCCCACGTCATAAAAAAAAAAAAAAAAAAACTGTTAATTACATCTATTAAATAATGACATTAATTATTTTTTATTGATGATCATTTATTATATTTATTAAAGGTCAGAAGTGATGATCTAATTTTAGCTTTGCCCATATATGCATTAAGTCCAATTGATGATTCACGTGGATCGAATCCATTTTTTAATGTTACATAAGCTCATAATTAATTCTATTCACATAGAAAATAATTTTTATTAAGTGATTTTTTATGTTTATTTTTCACTTGTCCGAATTCAATCTTTTTTAAAAAAAATATATCATAATTATTTACATAATATATAAAATTAATGTTCGGCTATTTAATTATTTAAAAAAATTTATTCTACTGTCAAATTTGAAGAAAAAAAAAGAAAGAATTCCAACAATTTCTAGTATTATATGAAGAAGAATAACAAATGATTCGCCTAATGTGACTTATTTTATCGGAGTTAGTTTGCAAGATATTAGAATTAGCTGTCGTTTAAAAAAAAAATAATAATAAATGCTAACACATAATTCATGTTAAAAGAAAGTTATTGCATATATTGAAATAATTGGAGTAGACCAGTGGTACGGTGCCATGTGGTAGTGTATTACGTTGCCTCTTTTTATCTTGTTTTAATTTTATTACTATACAGGTGCATTTATTTCTTGTTTCTCTCCATATGTGTTTTGAACTTCGTGTTATAAATAGATTTTATTTTTTGGTATATAATTTTATTTTTAAATAAATATAGATTGAATTTGTT